TTCCTTGCTTCCTTGCTTCCTTGCTTCCTTGCTTCCTTGCTTCCTTGCTTCCTTGCTTCCAGTCATTTTATCTTATTATTCCTTTTTACTTTACCTTATTCATATCTTTAAATTATTTCCCCCGTTAGGTCTGGATCGGTATCCCATGTATCATGGTACTGGTATCCATCTATCTTGTCGTAGCTCCTTTCTACCAAGCTCCTTTAGAGTCCTTGTATTGCCTGCTTATGGTCTTCTCTGGGACGCCATTTTATTTCATCTTTGTGTATTATAAAATTGCACCAAAGTGGTTTTTCCAGCGATACGGTAAGGAATAGAGAATACAGCGCTTGCACTAATTCACAATCAGGGGATCAAAACTAAGAAAATTCCCCTCTTCTGAAGAATGGAATGTTCTTTTTTCTTGATAATTAATGCAGCGCTTTCCAATCACACGAGTGAGCAAATATGGATTGGTGGGCGCCAAACAACAATGCCATAACATTGATTATCGGAAAACACAAAGCTTTTAAAGAGCACATTCATGCCTATAAACTAAAGTCATAAAGTCAATAAAATCAAATGAAACTCCTTTAGTGTATGGTGGGGGAGCGTCATCTAAACCTGAACGAAATGAGCTGAAATTAAGCCATGGGGCTGTTCAATATAGCAACAACACATGGTGAGAGTTTTATTTGTTTTTATTGATTTTAAAGCAGAAAAATGAGGATTCAAAAATACCTTCTTTTTTTTCCCCGTATAATACCCATATAATCATTGTCTGTCTGTCTGTCTGTCTGTCTCTCGATCGATTCAGTTATTCAACACTAACGGTAAGCCTGGGCTACCTGTGAAACAGTTTTATCCTAAGCCATGTGTATTGTAGATAAGAAGACTACAAGTCATTTAAAAAGTTAAAAATCGACGCATCAATTGATAAATAATTGATATTTTCCGTTACATTGTTATTTACCAGATGCGTTTGGCGAGAAAAAAAAATGTACCAGAGCTAAACTTAACCCCAATACACTTAGCATGTGTCAAAATACTTATGATTCGTAATATTAATGGATTTTGGTTATTATCTTGGACGTATAAAAGAAACTGATAGCATACCGTGCCTAGTACAGCTGTGCTATCAATAACATAATAATGGGAATCTTATGAAGGTTTGTGAAGAATAAATGCTTAGGAATAATTTGAAAAAGAGAAAAATACCGTGTAAGAACTAAGGAGGATGACGGAATAGATAAATAATGAATGAAATGAAATGAAAATGTATATGAATAATATTCAAAAATTAAATTAAATTGTTTTAAAGCCGAGAAGCGAATGAATGAAAGAGAGCGAATGAATGAAAGTGTGAAAGACAGAATGAATGAAGTAGAATCAAAATTTATTCCGAATAATCGTAACTTGACAAAGTTACCTGGTATAGAACAAGAGCTACATTTCTTTGTGACAAAACAGTCAGTGATGATATTTAAAGCAAACAATAATTTAACAATCTCATCTGTTACAGTTTCTTTAATTAAAATCCACTTCTGAAATTCAGTCTTATTTGCAGTCGAGTCAGCAAGAGACATCTTATTATCTCAAAATTTGATTGATAGCTTCGAGTTGGCTTTGAATGCTTTTGTAGGCTCGTTTTTCGGCACCTGACTTCAATCGGAGTTGTCTCAGTTTCTGTAAACTTCGCAAATTATAGTCGCTTTTTTATTTTGAATTTCACAATGAAATGCTCTTATTTGGAATTCGTTTTTCGCCCAGAAATATATGCAAGTACTTTTTATGTTTTTCTAGCTGTTACTCATGTTCTTTGTGGAATAGTTTCTTCCGGGTTGAATAGTTTAGTTATTTGGACAATCTGGAAAGTCCCAGCGTTGCATAAGCCTTCAATGGTTCTGATAGCGGGTCTAGCACTAAAGGATCTATGCATGGGTATCATGGTAGAGCCGCTATATACAGCTTGGATAATAACGGCACACAAAGCAGAATCGTTTGAACTATTTTGCGCTTTGGGAGTGATTGGAAAAGATTTGCTTTATTCACTTTCAACGCTCGCGGGCTTCAACATCACTGCCATTAGTATTGACCGCTGTCTTGCAATACGAACGAAAGCTAACTATAGAAATATAGTGACTTTAAAACGTGTTGTGCGATTTCTTATATTTTGTTGGATTTCTTCGTTCACTATTTGCATTCCTCTCGCCTTTGAGAGTAAAAGAACTGCCTTCAGAGTGGTTGCTGTACTCGGAGTAATATTTTTCGTTGTTTCAAAAACTTCGTACATTCTCTCCATCTTGGCAATAAGAAAACTTAGAAATCAAGTGTCCCAAAAGCCAGAAGTCCACGCCGAATCGGCAGAAAGAAAAGCAAACTTTGACATCTCTAAGTACAGTAGGTCTTTACGAACACTTGTAATTGTGTTTTGCTGTGATGTAGTGTTTTATTGCCCTCTAATATCGATAGGGATATTCCGAAGCATTGGCGCGAAAATTTCAGAAAATAACTGGGCGCTGTACTTGTCTGTGTGTGAAATGTTAATGTTACTGCCGTCTACTGTCAATCCTTGTATATTCTTGTGGAGAATGCAAGACCTTCGACAAGAAGCAAAGAATATTTTGAAAGGTTTGCTAAAAAGAGGAGAAACCTAAAGAAAATGAACGCAGTTCGTCGACTCATTGGCGTAAGAATGACTTTAGTACGCATTTGCGGAGATTTCATACTTTAAGGGCAAAAATTAATGTCGCATTTAGTTGTAACGAAACGATAACTTTATTGGGTAGGGCCGGTTTTCTGATGCATTTTACAAAATTAACTATAATAACTACAAATACATATGCTTAATTAAATACTGATATATGCGAAATGTAAGCTATAAAGGCTACGAATTAAAGTGAAGTAATTAAACATACGAAGAAAAATAGAGCCAAAAAGTTCAACGAAGTGAATGACCTATGAAGGGCCTATTTTGGGTCATTGGACTGAAAACTGCAAGCACACTGTTTACTATAGAGAGTGTTATCAGGTGTTTGCGAGAACGTTGTATCAAGTTAAGCATGCACCCCCACTAGTACTGTTTAACCTACTATAATTTGCAGATTTTAGAAGACTAAAGTTTCATTGTCATTTCAAAGTTATTAGTAACAATACTGATTCATATCAGTTTACAGCTGTTTGGAAGAGACTAGCTGTAAACTAGACCACGCCAGCTGAGTGTGTCGAATTGAATAACGATGAAACTGCATGCTTACTTTAGACCTCCTGCCCTCATTTCCTCTTTTTGATTATTCATTTGCATTTAACAAATAAAATACATTTACTGTGTTTGCACGGCTAATGCAAACCGAGATGTGGTTATTGGGAGAATTCGAGAGCAGATCAGTGCAAACACGAGCTGCAGGTTAAAACCAATCAAGTTTCATACACGCCTCCAAACATGAAATTCAAGTTGAAAATTTTTTATTTCAAAGCGAGAAGAAGCCAAACTTTAGCGACTTTCTCCCTTGAAAAAGAGCCTTTTACAAGCAGATCTAGATAAAATAATAATTCCAAAGCTTAACCAATGGCTTTAGTCATTCTAGACCGAAAAGAAAACACTATTTTGAGAGCTAGAACTCGCTAAATTCAAGCTTGATTTCCGTCTGTGTTGTTGAAAGAGTTCGTTGAGATTCTCCGAGTTCAGGCTGGCAAATCTGGATTTTTGCTTTTTTGCTGGAGGCTCGTCTGGTGGTTCTACTATTTCAGAAGCTCTTTCAGGAAAGTCAAAGTCTAAGCTTGGAAAATTAGCCATATTCTTCTAATTTTACTGGAGTTATGACTATTTGTGTACAAGTACAACTTCCAAACAAAACTCAAATTTTCCCGCCGGTGTCGACGCTCGTCACAACCGTGTTTGCACAGGGAAATGCAAACACGGCTCTCGGCCAATCGCAGCGCGCGTACTATCAGAATTATTTTATAATTGTTTATCATTTTTTTCGGCTGACCATATCACTCGCCATCTTATCACAATTTCTACATGTACTTATTGCCGGACACGTAAAACCACCAAAAAACACTTTGTAGGAGAGAAAATATTGGGAAAGGTGTACCCCCTGACATACCACAGTCTGCAACCTTTGGGGTTTTAAGGTTCCTAAACATCTTAGGGTATAATAAAAAATATATAATTTATAAATATGTATGCTGAAGAGATACTGACTGACCGTAGAATGACTCACAACGGTCTTCTATCGTAAATAACTATACCCACAATACACTACGCCTCTCCCCAGTCTTTCGCTTCGTGTCAGCAAAATAACAGTTTTTTTCAACATCGTTCCTGGTTTACATAAATTGCATTTCTTATTGGTTTACCGATAATGACGTCAGAAGTGGTGCAAAGATTCAAGTGCCCAGAATGAAATCAGGATTCTGATTAAAACGGTTGACCGCTTATACCGCCATAGAGAAGAGCGCAAAGAAGTGCATGCAGAGATTTATGGAAGCGCAGAACTCTAGAAAATAATTAGTTAGCATTTAAAATTTGTTAGATAAGTTAAAAATGTTATTGGGCTACAAGTGTGGACTTGAAGCCTTTGCGTTACGTGAAATCATATTCCAATTACGTAATTTCGATTTGATCCCATCATCACATCAGTTTTTTTCTCTCTAAAGTTCGGTATCATAAAGTACTTTCAAAAAACGAAATGAAATTGAAGGGGCCGGGTTCCCGACTTTGTGTTAGAGCTATAAGAGACATAATCGGTCAACGAATTAGAAGCCTGATATTTCGTTTTTCTTACTTTCAGAACGAGTTACCGTCTGGCTTCAGAAGATTTTCGATGTTGCTCTTCCAACCGACGATGAAATGGAGAAAGAATGCTGAAGTTAGTTAGTTATATATTGCACAACGGTAGACTATTGTGAATAATTTCCAAGTTGATATATGTGAGTTAGCCTTCTCGGCATTTTGAACATCTCATGCAGTTTAATTGTTTTCAACCTAAGGTGGATCCAAACCAAGTCATTCAGAGTTCGTTTCACCTTACCTCTAACAAAAACTTACATGCAAATTTTATTAGGTTAACATTTAACAATCTTTTTTGCACTACCATTTGACATTAAAAACATTTTTCTCGCGTGTAGAGGCGTCAAGAATAAATCGGTTCTTTAGGTGAAAAATGTATTCTGATCCTTCAAGTATACATCAACCACACAAATATGATATCGAGCACAAAATGTTTGTCAATAAACTTTTCTGTTTATGAAATATTCGAGTTCAAAGTTACCTCAATAAGGTTCTTGCGGTTCAGGGATTGCGCGCATGCTCATGCAAAATAGCCCCTTGTTGCACTATATATTCAAATTTATATCTGCGTGAAAGAAAACACAGTTTAAAAGTTATAGCGTGCGTAGGGGTGATTTGGATAGAAGGAGGGGGAGGAGCGAGGTGGGGGGACTTTTCTTCCCTCCTTCCCAGTCCCCCTCTCCTTTCTTCTTCCCCTCCCATCTCCCCTCCTCAAAGCGCCGTTACGCAGGCTATTTAAAAGAACGTTATACTTCCCCCTGTGGAAGCAATTTAATTAAGAGCCACATCTAGTATTGTGACATTTGCTTTTCATTAATTAGAACTCTTTCCAAGAAGAACTCAATCATAGAGGATTTTTTGGTTTGAAATTAATGATGTAATCAGAATAAAATTGGCAGCCATGTTGGTTGATGGAAAGCAAGTGGACGCTGATGCGAGAGAGATAGCTAGAGAATTAGTGGGAAAAAGAGAAAAGAGAGGAAAGGAAGAAAGGAAAAATAGATCACTTGCTCAACCCAACCACGTTGACGGCAGTCACGTATCATATGAACACAAACAAAACGCACAGAGGAGTCTGTACGTCTCAAATTACATCTCTGACTAAGTCAGCTAGCATTTGCAGATCAGGTTATTCAGTCTTGTATAATTATGAGGCAGCCAATTATAGCACGCCAAATAAACCAATCAGAGGAAAGTATACCAATACTGTCTAGAACAAATGACCAGCCAATACCTCGAAAATAAATAGATTTTAAACCTTTTATTTCCTGGAAATTTCCTGAAAAATTGATGTTAAAAATAACTTGATCTAGAAAATGTTGGCTGATGAGGACATCAAGGTATTTCTCGTGATTGGCTAGTCATGAATCATTACAAACGTCATATTAAAAAAATGTTAATAAAATAATAAACAATAAATAAACCACAATTTGATCTTCATGTTGTAGTAAATTTACCGCGATACACGCTCAAGTTCTTTTTATTATTTTCTGCTCTTTTCGCTAAGAAACCAAGTTGACAATGAAGGCAATTTCCTCGGGCCCTGACTATGTATTTGTTTATGTTGTAAACACCACTCTTCTCAAACACCGGAAATTTTCAACGCTAAAATGCTGGGATGAAATAATTTTGGCAGGAAAACTCGCTTCATTTGTATAAGCAAGATAAGTTCTGGCGGGAAAACTCACTTGACATTTCACGTCGAGATGAATATTGGCGGGAAATCCCATTTCCGACTTGCTTGTCATGTCCACAGTAAATCTTGGCAGGAACTTTTCCCGGCCTACAAACAATACTAATCGCAATACAATTGGTCCTTCCTGCATTTTACAATGAAGGTTTTATCTTAATTTTCTATGAATCATCCACTGTTTCAGATTTTTCTGTTTTCGTTGTTTCATCATGCTCCTTTTTGCTTTCTTCATCTGCAGTACTTTCTATCTTCCCAGCTTCAACCTCGTTTGCCGCGTCACTATCTGCTTGTCCTTCAGTTTTTGCTTCACTTGTTTGTGTTTCTGGTTCTTTTTCAGGGCATTCAGTGGCATTTTCTGGTGTTGTTTCTTCTTTACCTTGTGTTTCTGGTTCTTTTTCAGGGCTTTCAATGGCGTTTTCTGGTGTTGTTTCTTCTTTTGCTTGTGTTTCTGGTTCTTTTTCAGGGCATTCAATGGCGTTTTCTTGTGGTGTTTCTTCTTTTGCTTGTGTTTCTGGTTCTTTTCCAGGGCATTCAATGGCGTTTTCTTGTGTTGTTTCTTCTTTAGCTTGTAGTTCTGGTTCTTTTTCAAGGCATTCAATGGCGTTAACTTGCGGTGTTACTTCGCCAGCTTGTGTATCTTGTTTTTCTTCCGCGTTATCAGTTGCCTCGCCTTGTGGAGCTGCTTCACTAACTTCTGTAACCTCAACTTTTTCCTCTGACTTATTAGAGGGAATATTTTCCGCCTTGGTTTCGCTTTCAGCAACCACTTCTCCTTTGGAATTTTCAACATCATCTTCACAATTAATCTCTGGTGTTTCTTCGTTATTTTCAGGTTCATCGAAACACAGTTCCTTTTGTTGCTCATCATTCTGCTTGGAAATGTCATCTTGAGCTTCTGCATTCTTACTTTCACTTTCGTCTACTTCGCCAGTGTCAGCTGCAGCACCGGTATCATTTTCCTCTAGCTGAGCTCCGTTTTCCTGTGCTTCTCCATCTGTAAGCGCTCTTTTGGGTTTAGGCATAACACTTGGTGGGATTTTCTGCCGTTTGTTGATTTTTGAGAAATCTTCCTTGCAAAATGCTCCAATACCTCTGTGGGTTATAAAGGAGGGATTATGCGGCCCTACTGGACGCGCAAGCCCAGTGCAAGTTTTGATTTCGCGGGCTTTTTTCTTAGCTTCCTCAGCTGCCTTTCTAGATGCTTCTTGTGCAGCTTCTAGTTTGTCGTTTGCTTCTTTCATTGCTTGTTCAGCAGCCTGGCGCTCTTTTTCCAGGGTTTCAAGTCGCCGTCTCTCCTGAAAAAGTAAAATAAATGCAATTTATTTTGAGTCAATCGCGCAAGGGATGATTACTCAGTCTCTTGAGAGAGAGGCCCAAGCGATTCTACTCATTTAGATGCTTCATTATCCTATCACGTGATGTTGTTGGTCTGTACTACCAACATGGTCGCTTTTGGAAATCTTACGAGGTTTGCGATTACTTTTGATCTTTTAAATAGTTAAATTTATAATGACGATAAGGCACTAGTTTGGGAATGCGTCGGAACTGTACTGACGTTTCGGACGTTAGTCCTTCGTCGGACTAAAAACGAAAGTTTGAAAGTTTTATGAATGTCTTAGATTTCCGTGTGTCCTTTTGCAGGTAGGCCAAAAATGTTTTGACGCATTGTCCTGGAATATTCCATTTTCAAGGGGGYGATGAGTTTTCTAGAACAACTTGAGCGTAGATCTCGGATGGACACCTTTATAGAGTTTATATAATGTTTACATACTTTAAATAGTTAGTTCTTACCTCTTCGAGGAGTTTGTCCTGTAGTTTCTGCCTCTCCTCCAGACTTTCTCTCATCTTCAACTCATCTTGCAACATTTGTTCCTTTTCCATTTTCATCCTCTCCATCTCTTCCAAACGTTTCTTCTCGTTTGCCAACAATTCTTCCTGCAACGCTCTCGCCTTCGCCTCTGCCTCTCGAGCCTCTTTTTCTGCTAGCAGAAGGTGTTGCAGTTCTAAGTGGAGGTTTTCTAATTCTTCGCGTCTTCTGATTTCTTCTTGTAAGTTTTCAGCTTCAAGTAACGCATGTGCTTCGGCATCTGAATATTTCTGCCTAAGCATCTCCAACTCCTKAAACAATGACAAAAAGATATTAAGTACCAATTTCGGTGGCGCAGTACTAGTTCAGATATGATTTAGAAACGGTATATTTATGCACGAGAAATAAWAAAAAAAATGAGAGCTATCCACGATGAAGTCAATCAAACAATTAYGTAAAAAGTACTGCCAATGCGTAAAAATGGCGGGAAAGTGGCAAACGCGCGCGTTTCAAAARCATTAAATATTTTTCATGAGTGCCAACGCTTAAAGTGCCTAGTCTATGAAATACACGCGCATCGTCCATCCGCCCGCCCCTCATCACTCTTGCTTGCTTATTCATTAATTTCCCTTTCGCTGTTACAAGTCAAGCGCCATTAAAGCCTTTGAATAAATTAAATAAATAAATGCACACCAAACTCAATATTTTCGTTATTGATTCTACATGATATCGAAGTGAATAGTTAATTGTTAAAATATTTTTAAATGATCTCTTGTGATATCAAGGTTATACTTCCATTATGTTAATGATGTGATGTCGTAGGAAGTATGATTAAACATACAAAACATTTCTGGCAGTAAAATATCTAGTCTCCCACGCAGCAGCTATTAGTGTCGTCACGCAACGCTCGCTCCCCTAAGTAGCTACTTATTACGACACTAGAGCAGTTTTCGCATGACTGTGAAAAGCTCAGTGCCGTAAGCGTGGTGTGCCGTGACCGTGATACTTTCTAGAATTTTAATTGACTRATTTTTTTTACGCGCAATGTGATTGGTCTAAAAGTGCCGTGATCTTCGCGTGATCGTGTCCGCRCCGTGTYTATGCCGTGTTCCGGGTATTTGATTGGATGGAGAGTAAACTCTCGTGCAATGTGATTGTCTGGCGTATAACTTGCTGTGTCACGACCGTGCGGTTCGAGCCGTAAACATTTCACAGTCATACGAAAACTGCACTAATAGCGGCTTCGTAGGAGACTATAAAATATGCTGTATAAAACATAATTGTCTTACTAAGGGTTTATAGGAAGGTTATTGAAAATTTATTTTAATTTTTTTATAGTMATCAKTGTTTCAATTTACGAATGATGACAAATAAACTCAAATGCCTCGTATGACGTAACACTGGTTAACATATTGGAAATATGGACCTTGATATCTCCAAGATGTGTTACCCAGTTAGGTGTCATGCATCGGCACCAAATTCCATCAACTATTTCATATAATCTTTGTTATCAGTAAAGAAAAATGCACTTACCTTTTGCTGTTCTAACAACAAGTTTTCTTGATCTCTCTTCTTTCTTTCTTCCTCAAGTCTGGCTAGTCTCCTGTCGTTCCTTTCTAGTCTTCTTTGAAGTCTTTCCTTCCTCTGGACACTTTGCCCTCCACYGTTCTCTGATAAAACACGAAACGATTGATTTTAACCTTTTCATTTTCATTTTCGATGTAATTAAAAAATACTTTTTTCACTAATGTTTACTTGACTTTTTGGCTTTTCATTACTCGACTAACTCAGAGTTTGTCGAGTCTACCATTATCTCCATTCGCAAAAGCTAAATTCGCATTCTCTCAGTGAGTTAGCCGTGCACTGACTTTCAACAGCCCAGAGGATGTTTTCAGGGTATCGATAAAAATAATTTGGAGAACGCTAAAACGTTTATGGGTAAAAGCGAAGGCGAGTTCAAAGGCTTACTGCGTCCGGAGTTACCGCCGATGCCAGATCACAGAAACATGAAACTGAAGCTAGTTTGTGGTCCTTCTACAAAAGAATGACCCTAGACAACCGTGAGATAAATGGTTAAGTATCATTTATTACATTTCTTAAGATGAATAATATTTTTTATTCTAACGACTAGTTTGTTCGTAAAATTGTTTAAAATCATATAGCTAAAATATGAACTAATTTGTGTCCCAATGGCCAAGTGGACGATTTAGTGTGTGAGTGGGTTGGTCTGCCGGACCAGGGTACGTACATGTACATTCTTGATGGAATAGTAAGAGCAGCTGTGCACAAAGGCAGGGGGGAGTAAGAACAGCTTTGCACAAAGGGGGGAGGAGTAAGAGCGGCTTTGCACAAGTTACATTTGGGTATTTTTTWAAAAATCTCTTACCTATAGCTTTTTGTAAAACCACCAACCATTCTTGCTTAGTTCTTTGGTCTCTCGCTTCCAAATCGTAATTAGTCTTCGTCTTTCCACAGGTAACGCTAAAGCGATATTTCTTGGAGTCTGGGATGGCAGCAACCTTGGTATTCTGGTCAATAACRATCTCGCCTTTTTTTTCATTGCTGCAGGCGCGCTGGGCGTAATAAGAAAGAAGTCCTGGTTTGAGCACGAACCAGCGATTCTTGAAAGACCTGACCATGTGACCTTTCTTGATGAGGTAACCTTGCATTAAGATCTCGTTGACAACATAATCCACGATCTCTTCCAGTGCTTCTAGGAAAATACTGTAGACAAATACAAYCCTATTTTCAAATTTAAGTTCAAAGACAATAATGAATTTGTTCGGAACTGGTCGCAATGTTATTTACAGAAAAAAATATCTGGTTGGTCAACGTGTCCAGGACACCTGGAATCTAGGCACGCATGCGCAATGCATTGTTTGTCCGGCAGCGAAAATTTCCAAGTATGTTACGTTATTATTATCTTTCAACATGTCAACTAGACGACAAAAATATGTTATTTTAAAAAGATATTTTGTGAATCTTTCCATGGATGAGTTTTACTTTCTTTATTTCCAGTAAAAGCTGGTGTTTCAGTTATCGAGCCGACAACCTTCAACTAGAAAATAACGACTGATTCGCCCTCTGAATGGCTAATTCGTTCAGCCTGAGAGAAGCCAAGTCACCTGGGTATAATATTATGGTAACATATCAGACGCCGCAGCAGGAATATAGTACTAAAGTTCATCAAAACTGCTGTTTTTAGAACTTAAAGGGGTTATTTTGAAACTCTATCTGACATTATGTCTTGATCTTGCCAGATTTGACTTCCATTTAAAACCACATATTTAAATTGGCTCACGTACTTCAATTTTACGGCGTTAAAAAAAGATGCAAAAAGCAATTTTCTTTTCTGTTTTCAGGCTGCTTCAAACTGTATGGAACGCAAAATGGAGGAAAAAATAAACTTCCAACGGCTTCAAAAAAATTGAAAAGAAACGAGGAAATATAATTTTGGAAAAACTTAGTTAAAAGAAAGGGCCGTTATTATAATTTCAGTGTTGAAGTATTTTTGACCTAAAAAATTAAATTACCTTTTGTAAAATATAAATGTTTCATATTTTCGATAAGAACGTTGCCAGTTAAACAAATGCCTCTATCTTGAGATTTCACATTTGACGTCGACATTTGACTGCCACTATCAGAATCCCTTGCACACATTTATTTGTTCAGTTCATTAGTATCGATTGTCTTACTATTCTCAGGAGGGAATAACAATGTGAATAAGAAAGAAAATTCTCGGATAATCTTGGTAGTGAGACCAGTCAAGTGATCCCATCACGCAAACGTCCTATTAGCTAAATCAGTCCAAAATATGCTGGTTGTTTGACCCCTAATATGGAAGAGATGATGCCAAAACTGTTTGTTTAAACTGTGAAATAATGGCTGGGAGCCAATTCCAAAATGGGGAGGGTAAAGAATGTTGAATAGACGAAATTATATACACAGGAAAAGAGAAAAAAAGGAATGAAAATAAAATAAAATAGAAAGAAGAGAGAAAAGAAAAAGGAGAGAAGTTAAAGGAGACTGTAGAGAAGAGAAGAGAAGAGAAGAGAAGAAAGCTATAAAAAGATAGATTGCTTGTTCTTTTTACCTTCTGGGAGTACCAGCCAAGTAAACCTTTTCCAGGCATTCCAAATACTGCCAAAATGTCAGCTCCTCGGCTTCATCGCAAGATTCATTCAACAGGCCTGGATTCCATATCTTCCCAATGGCATGAGACACCTTCTCCAAGAGTAGCCCTAATTCTTCTTTATGTACCCTGGATGTTTCATCAATATCTAGAGTGTTGAATATCAGCCATTGTTTGTAAGCATCATCTTCTGTTAATGTGTGATTTTCTTTTTTGAAGAATTCTTGACTGACTAACCACCAGCAGAGCTTGTGGAGTTTGGAGACATCTAGCTTTTCACTTCCTTAAGGAAAAAATAGATCTTTCTTCAATGTTTATTATATTTATCCAGTGCTTTTGACATTTCAAATCAAGAGATAGACCTGCTGACAAGTTGTACCAAGGCAATTATTGTACATGTGACTACTACTGGTTGATATGACAGCCCCCAAACATTCCATGGTTTAGAAGTACACCCAGGAAATAAAAAAAGGAGGGGGTGGTGTGAAGTAATTAAGGAGAGTTGTGGGGGTCCTGTATTGGCCATTTCCAACATTTATTCTTGTGGGCCCATATATAAAACATATAAAAGCCAAAAAGTAAGCATTAATTTTTTWAAATATTAATTCTAATAATAAGTTAAACAACATATATTTTGTGCCAGAAAATCTAAAATATAAATACAAAGTACATAATTAACCAAGATAAAAAAAATATTTTGTAGTAAGAGTTTTAAAAAAAAAATTTCATTAATACAAGAGATTTGCTTGCTGACCTACCCTACTTAGTTGAGTCATATCATAATGATCTTTAAACTTTATACCAATATTTTTCTTTTTTTAGTTTGTTTGTGTATATGTTTGGAATTTTTGATATGTTAATGATATATTAATAGTAAATAAGTTTTTATCGATTATCTATTTTATAAAATAAAATATAAAAATAGTCCAAGTTGATTTGAAAATAGGTAAAAAGTTGATAAGAATCAATCGTAATTTGTTAATTTTTCGTTAGTGAGGAAAACTAAGCTTACTTAAGATGAAATTGAATTTTGTCAAATGTCATTCAATAAAATTCAATCTTAATTAATATGTGAATATATAATGAGAGACAAAATTAGTAGTTTGAGTCGGTGATAAATTCATTTTAAACTATTTTTTCCTGGAAAAACAACGAAGAATGAAATAAAGATCGGTATCATACTTTGCTTTTAAAAAAATAATAATTAAATAAAAAGATTGAAAAAATGTCGACCAATATCGATCGAGGCTCGAAGCCTCTGCTTGACATTGTTTATTTTACATATCGCTGAAGCACCCGTTTCAACAAGCAAATTATGATTCCTACAATCGTTTCTCACCTTTAGGCAGTAGATATTCTTCTAAATACTCCACAAATTCGGCACAGGAAAGACGTTTCTTCTCTTCTTTGAATTTTGAATTCAAGTCATCAGCGGAATAAGGGACTCCTAAATCTCTACTTATAGTTGCACAGAGAACTTGAAGTTTAGATTTGTCAACTTCGCCTGCTAAGGAATCCCTAACATTTGAGTTTTGTAGGGCTTCAAAAGTATGTCTTATGCTGTTCTTAACTTCTGTTTCAAACTTCACAGGTCGAGGTTTCTCTTCTTCGACGTCGTTCGGCTCCATAGTTTTCAAAACTTTAACGATTACTCTAGGTTTCTATTCGTTTAAGCTCGTAGTTCCACACGGAATTCAATAGCTCACTGAGCAGTTTGAGTCCAAACACGTCACGTCTGAAGTCAAGCGCGAAAGCATGGGTTATTTAAAAGTACTTCCTGTCAACAACAGCTCTCAGCCCAAAGCCTTTGTTTTCTGACTCGGAAAAAAAAACTAAGAAAAAAGGATGAACACAAAAAGAATTGCTCCTCGTACAAGCTCGTGCGAACAATTAATGTGTATGCTGTCACTGTTGCAATTTAAACAAAAAAACAACAAAAAAGCTGGTTTCGTAGACAAATTGTTTTGCTACCAGGCCAAAATTTGTTAAGAGAAAGAAAAGGTGCTTTTCAGCGCTTACTTTCGTATTTTCAAGCAAGAAAAGAAATGTTGATTGGAGCTTTCGATATCATGGCGTGTTTGGGAAGGTTTTTCGTGTGGCTTGTCCGTGGCACACCCAGACAATGCCGGATGTCCTCACCACGTGTGTAAGTGTAGAGATCTCTTGATTATTTCCCGCAAAAACAGCTGTCCTTACCCACAGACGTAAAATATATACAAAAAGTTTTAAGTGTGAAAGTATGAGGATGGTTTTAATTTAATGGCACGACCAGATAGATACGGTATTTTTTTGTGGCGCGCTAATAACACTGAAATGATTTATTTTCATTTCCTGCGTGTGTGAGACGCCCACTTTACGGTATAGTCGATCACCAAACGGCTTCACATAAAATTCCTCTTTTTTTCCACTTATAATATAAACCAAGTATCTACTGCAGCTGTCCTTCAAGAGGATATTCAACAAATGTAATAATAAGCTTGTATTTGTTTTATAGTCTCAACCCGCGTTATCCACAGGAAGCCCACCACTGACACGCGCAGTCAGTTTTGTACTTCCTGTGCGCTATTCCTATTCATCAGTAGTTTGACGTTTTTGACAAGAATGCCTTTACCTTAAGCTTTTTTGACAGACAAGCGAAACTCCTGGATAAGCTTATTGATTATACTATAACACCAAATAAAGAAAATATAAATAAATTGTACTATAATAATCAAGAATAGAGTCAATTCTGGCCTAGAATAATCCAGTTATCTACCAAAGAAAATTTGGATCGCCCATTACGTCCAATCTGTCAAACTTAGTCGAATGACATCTCTTCCTTAGCATTGTTAAGAGAGCTCTACGGCATATCATTTGCATAGCTTTGATGCATTTGTATAGTAATATGAGTCTATTTAATTTCTTAACAAGCATACAAAAAAAAAAAAAAAAAAAAACGTAGATTGACTATATCATGCCATGATGAAAATCTCTAACCTCTTTAAAACCATTTCAGTTTAAATCATGGCCTTTTCTGAATTCATTGTAGAGTTCCTGAGGGCGAAACGGCAACTAAAATCACAGGTTTTCAAGGTGAGCTACGAAATTTTAATAGCGCCTTTCGGTACGGCCCTCAATTGTCTTCCCTTATTAGCGAGGCGGATATGAGTAGAATTAGGGTCGAATTGGGTTTCTAAAAGAACCAAATTTTCAGGAAATAAAGGTTTAAGCGTGTTAATGAATATGTGATATGGTGCCAACCGGGAATTTCATGCTGACGTGAGTTATCGGGATAGTTTCAAAACGTCGCCATCTTGAACCAGAAATGAAATATCAAAAATCAAGAATAAATAAATTCTGATTAAATTAATTTTATTTTGCTCGAAATATGTTTCTAGTTGTCTATCACTGAAACCTGAACACGATTTAAAACAATAAAGAGCAAAAAAGAAAGAAAAAGAAAAAGAAAAAAAGGAAGGAAAAAAAATTTTTTTTTTGTTCTGTAACTGTTTTCATGATCCGTGACTGCTCGTTTAATCGGAAGTCAGAGTTGCAACATACGCCGGAAGTGAACTATTTTGCTGCAGAAACCTAAAAGCAACGGCTTTATAAATATGCATGGTAAATATAGATAAAAAATAGTTATATAGACCCAGTAAATATAGATTACTTTCTACATTGACTTGTTATACAATCACATTATTGTCCCTGTATTTTAAAAACATTACTATTCTCTAGCTCTGCACTACTTTTCCTTTAAACTTTATTCTGCTTTGCTTTGCTTTGCTTTGCTTTGCTTTGCTTTGCTTTGCTTTGCTTTGCNTTTGCTTTGCTTTGCTTTGCTTTGCTTTGCTTTGCTTTGTTTTGCCTACTCCTTATGTTGTATGTTCTGGACATTCATAACAGGTCTCGAGATCGAAGGCGCGGCTACCTTTCAAGATGGCGCAGCGAACTGTGAAGGCGACTATTTTATCGATAGAATTATCAGAAACATAAGCATCACGCTGTTCAAAGAACAATAACATTTCTACCTGATTATGCTGCAAAGTTTCCTCCTTTTTACCCAAAACCCCGAGAAGTTCTCKGTTTTGATATTCTGATTCTGTTGCTTTCCGGGCCTGCGTGAAAAAAGTATGTCTGTTTATAAAATGTGGATGTTAGCCATTTAGAGGCCGGGGGAAAAACTAGCTCGAGTTGGCATTGCAGTGCATTGTGGGGCTATTTTAGAGGACGAAATAGACGCTATCTTGAAATATGCCTAAAAAACCCCAACAATACATTGCAATGCCAGCTCGACGCAGTTTTTCCCTTAACCTCGGAATGGCCAAAAAGATGAAAGGGAATAATGCGCGCGGTAAACATGTTTCTGGAAACCCAGAAACATGTTTCCTCGTTTAGCCAGGTCCTCAGAATAGTTTCATTAACACACATTGTTTTACATTTCATTAACACACATTGTTTTACAGGGTTTCTCAATACATCAGAAAAAATCTGTTAACATTTGGTCAGCTATGATTTCAAGCTCACGCCCCCTCATGTGAGCCCATACAAATTATGTCTCAAAAACACGGTTTTTGGATCTTTTTTCAAAATAATGACTATCTAGGCAAAAAAAACAGAAGTCAGATTCAGTAATGATGAAAAGGTAAATTATACACCGTGAAAAGATGAAAAAGAAGACTAGTCAGATTCAGTTAATTCAACTATTCACGGACTGTATTATATGGTTTAGATTGAATTCTATTGAAAAAACCACAATTTTTCGCAGCTAAGAAGACCACACGCTCGCTTTTCTTTTTTTTTTCTCGGCCATTTCCTTCGGAAATCTGTCGGAAACCGAAGTGCCGAAATTTGAATTCGACGACTCGCCAACGGAAAAAATAGAGACTTGGAGCAAGTCTAGTCGTTTTGACAAATCGCCTGAAAACAAAATGTCGGAGGCCAAAAGGAGAAATGTCAAAAGCGAAAGTCTTTCATGACAAAATGCTGGACGACAAAGCCGCTTGAGACGAAATGTCAAAATTTTGTTGTGACAAAGTGACTCGGAGCGGAAATTGATCAAAAAGACAAACTCACTTTTTAATATGGTCCTAAATCACTTTGACTTTTTAACTTTTGACATTTTTGACTTTTGTTAATGTCCGCTCTCGGCCACCGTAGGCACCATATCAGAATGCTAAAACCTTTATTTCCTGAAAATGTGGTGCTTTTTACCCAAAAGTAAACAATTAGCACGCACATTCGCCTCACTATATATAATCTAAAGGTTGGAAACTTCGGCTGATTTCAACTCCAAGTCACTCTACTTTAGCCTGCGAGCAGCCGAAAAATAAACGGCTGCACGCTCGATTTTTTCGACCAACATTTTATCAAAGTGGGGAGCGTGGGTTACCTGTGGTTATGATGGTCGAAACGAGATGTAAAGAGTTTTTTTGACCAGCGGTGTTGTTACCCATAGCAACGTAAATTAGCTGCCTCCATTTTTACTTAAAAGCAACTTTTCTTCGTTTTTCCTCAATTCTCTAGCCAAAAATGCCTCCAAAAAAGAAAAAGTCGGGCAAGAAAAAGCTTGCAAAGATGACTGAAGAGCAAAGACTTGTTTATTTGGAACAGAAGCGCCTTGCTGAGGAAGAAATGAGGAAAAAGAAAGAAGRCATGTTAACACAGTTTCTGAAGGTATGAAAACACACTTTTTATTCGAAAATAAAACGCTTGAATTTAACCCGAAAAATCATTAAGCATCCAATAACATTGTTGTTTTTTTTTTCAGGATAAATTAGCGAAAGAAGAAAAGAGTACGAAGTTTAACCTAAATAAACTACAAAACCAATGGCGAGTCATCATGAGAGAAGGTCTGTCTAAATGTATTTAAAAACATTATGTTATAAATTATTGTTATAACATATATCCGAAATTCAATATTAACATTGATTCAAGGAAGAGAGCGTTATTCTTTTCATTATGTACTTTTATTTTTGATTTCCACAAAATTATTATTTTTTGATTCCCAAAAATATGTGCCGTAAGAAGCAAGCTGTATCATTAGATGTACATACTGTACAATGGTATAGGATTGACACCTCAGCAATACCAGTACCAACTGAATCGCACACATGGATATTTTTTGACACTCAACATGTTTAAAACTAAATAATGAAAAGCTGACTTCAACAGCAGCTAAACTTATTTAAACAGCTTAACTGCAGGATACTCTGCCACTCCCCCTGTCCTTTGTGTAAAAACTTTGACAAGTGAGAAAGTTCATAGTCTTTTAGATGGAAAGGGATCACTAGACTCATGCAAAAATTGTCCCCCACCTCCCCCAGCATCACCATGATTCTTTCTACATATGTTGATTCTTTAAGGGAGGAAAACTGAGGACTTAGAGAAAAGCAAGCAACTGAGTTCACACACCATGGAAAGTCTTAATACAGATAGTCTCCCCTACAGCCACTTTCAGTGTCGTCACACAGCAACGCTTTCCCCCCTGAGCTACTCAGGGGAGAAAGTGTTGCATGAGAACACTGAAAAAAGCTATGCGGGAGACTAGAATACAGACCACTCTATTTTGAAAATACRAATGAAATCACACTGGATTGAAAATTATGTGCTCAAGGCATTTCATAATTTTTTAAGGGGCCTATTGTATGATGTACCACAGAGATTTGAATACATTAAAAGAGCATGATACTGAGGAACATTGTTTGTTAATATTTTCACAGCCAAGTCTCAGGAGTTAAAGAAAGATATTGAAGTGCTCAGTCAGACATTTGAGAGGGTGATTGACAGAAAAGAGGCCATAATAAAATCACTTGTGAAGGATATAGAAGAAGCTGAAGAACAATACCAGATGGCACTCAGAAGTCATCTACAAAATGAAGACAGATTAATAGGTAAGTCAGTATATTATTAACTACAGCTAGAAGGGAAAAGAGATATGAATAGGGAATGAAAGAGAAGAGAAATATTAAGTTTATGCAATTTTAGGGACTGGTCTTTGTTTAAAGGTAAGGGCTGGTACAAAAAGAGGTATATCATGCTTATTACTTGTACAAAAAATGTGCCAGGTTAATGGGAAGGGCTTAAAATAATGGTTGGACATTCAGGACATTGTCTGGCCAGAACTGGGACTTGTCCAATCAAAACTTTGCCTTGCCGGTCATTTTGACCAGAGTAACCTTTATTCAGAAATAAGTTATGACAAAACTGAAACTAATTTGGCTTGTGATCATGACTGGCGGCTGATGAGCCGTTATTTTTTCAAGTCCTGATGGGTGATAGACTATTGCCATTCAAAATGAAGAATAACAAAGATACACTGTATGTAGTGTTTTGTCACCATGTCTTTATTTTGAAGTTTTTTAATGGTGGTCATTGTTATTGACTACTGTAAATGGTTAGACAATGTAAAGACAAGGTACATTAATTGTGGGAAGGTACATGGGAAAATTATCAGCTTGACAGCAGTCATTTGTCCAGATTACAAACCTGTCACAATGTTTTGTCTCGATTATCAGGGGCAGATCCAGGATTTTTTCAAAAGGGGGGTTGTAGCATTGATTGAGGCACCTGTTTGGCAGGAAAGTTAGCACAGGGCTCCCAAACGGAAGTAGGTCTTATGAAAATGATTATTTGCTGCAGGCGAGCATGTTTGTTTCAGGCCCCACACACGGCATTTAGAAGAAAAAAAAGGAAAAAAAGCGAGGGAAATGTGCTTGGCACCCCTGTTTTAATAAAACTCGTGATGCTGTTGGTGTTGTCATGAAAAAAAAAAATTATATTAATAAATCACGATGGCTCTCATAGTGGGGGTTGCAACCCCCAAAACCCACCCCTAGATCCGCCACTGATTATCCCATAGCAATGAAAATCATGGACAATTTTCCTGAACCACATTTTGTGAAGCAAATGTTTTTGCATTACAATACGTTTTAATTGTATGCTCCTACTGTGTAAATGATTTTAAACTTTTCTTTTTTCATATTGAACTTTCAGATCTTCAGCAGAGAAGATTAAAGGAACATAAAGATGAATTTAATCAAGAACAAGAGATTATTAAGGTTGAATTTGATACAGAAAGGTAAGTTCCGAGTCTGATAGGAACATGTTACTACCACAGTTATAATAGTGTACAAACATGCACATTAATATTATTCATCCTTGTATTTCAGGAGATTTGTTTTGCTTGTTCCTAATTACTACATGTTGTTATCTATCAAAGTATATGTTAACATTTTTATTTTCTGGCATTCAGAGTTATTATTGTCAGTTGGCCATCAATTTGCCATTTTGGACCAATAGTGTTAAAAATCAGCTGTGTTTCATAATAGTAGCCTTTAATTGCTTGCAGAGCTATGCAATTTATTAATTCATCAACTATTTGTTTCTTAGAGAAAAGATACAGAGTCAACATAAGAAAGAAATGCATGATATTCAAGACATCATGTTTGCTATGGAAGAGGAATGGAATGAGCAAGAAAGTGAAGCCAAGCAAGATTTCCAAAGTCTTAGAGATGAGATCAAAAACAAGGTATTAAAATGAAAAGCACTCTAAGGGAATGTACAATTTGAATGTTTGTGATGGGTCAATTCTTATTTTGTCCAAAGCTGTAATCCTTATTGACTTAATAGTAGGAGGCTAGGGTCATAAATTTCTTACTAATGAGTGAATGGGAGAGGGATACAACCATTAATATTATTTTTTAAGCTTAGTGCAAGTTCCCCACCCCTTCCTACCCTAATGAAAAACATGCCTTCTCTAAATTATATTATCTTAAAAATATAGTTCACTTTGAATGAATGTGCATGCTGGTATTTTTTATTTTATTTTATATTTTTATGTAAATAGAACATAGAAGAAAAACATGCACTAAGGATTCAGCTAGAAGGAACAGTGGAAGATCTTTGGAGACAGTTCCAACAGGTACTGTAAGGCCATGTCATGGAGAGGAGACACATGGAGAGGGGTTACACTACTACACATTCTGTCTAAGGAATTATCTGTCAACCTTAATAGTGTTTTTAATTTTTGATTTTGAAATAAGATTGTTGGAATATATTATAGGCACTGAAGAACTACAATGAGACAACTGAAGAGAGAAAACTAGCATTTGAAAATTTGAAAGCAAAAGACGAGAAGAGTGCCAAAGAAATAGAGACACAGATGAGAAAACTACAAAGAATACAGGTACTGTATATTTATAAATATGCTATTGATGCTTGTGGCATAAATGGATCAGAATAGTGTGATCATCAGGAATACTAGTCTTGGAGTACATGATGATGCCCGGGGGGGGGGGGGGTACTCCCCTATTTTTGCTATACGGGTATGTGCCGCCCTATAGGGTAAGATTTTATTATTCCTTTTTCCTTTTATCATTGGGT